CCTCCATGTCACCCTAAGACGAACCACTCGTTGCTTCCTATTGAGATTCCACTAAAGCAATGGCCTTTGTTGCGCCTGATGTATTTTGACGACCTTGACATTGTGTGCTTGATTCATCTTTATTTTCTCGTACATATTTGTTGAGTAGTCGGTTCTTAGTTGGTTTTTTTGCACATTTTCTTGTATCTTATTCTTTCTGGCCATTTGATCTTCAGTGTGGAGTCAGAGAAGGCAGTTGTTGATGAAAGTCTGCAACCCGTTGGAAATCCTTTTCGTGACACGCTGTGCTGGCTTCTGACCCGTATGGAAGAACTGACTGGCTGAGTTCACACTTGTGTTGAAAATTTAAATCTTTTTCTTTATGCTGGCTGCTGCAGAAGATTTTTAATCTGCTTTCAGATCGATGAAGGCGTAGTTTGCCTTTCCGATCCTGGCTGACTGACTCTGACACTTTCATCCGTGCTTCATATGTAGTTGAAACGATGCTTCCAAGATAAGTGAAGCAAGGAGGTAACCTCTGCTCAATCCCTCCAGTTGATGATAATTGGTGCTGGTTGTAATTTTTGTTACTGTTGTTTGTTTATCTTAATCACCTTCGTCTTCTCTTGATTCAGTTGCAGTCCTGTCTTCGCTGCCAGCCAGCCTTTTCAGCCAGTTTGTTGGTTTCCTCTTGCAAGTCTTCGAGTTTGTGTGACATTTGACATATATTATTCAAGATGGAAATCCAGATATTCAAGAGTCTTTTTGTCAGTCGTCCAGAGTATTCCTGAATCCTCATCCCCAACATTCTGTACCCATTGCATCTTTTATTCTCTCTAGAATGATGCAACTCAGTATTTTACTTGGCGTAAGCAAAGGCAAGATCCTCCACCAGTTCTTTCACATGCCTAAGTTGCTCTTCTTCGGCAGCTTGACAAAGCAACCAGCCTTTCTTTCAATTAGTGAATACCTTTCCTTCTATCCAATCTTCTTGCAGTAATCGCGTGAGCACATCAGCGTCAGTCTCCGGCTCTGTTTTCAGTGCTTCGGCGAGGGTGGAATTCCGTCTTGTCCTGCTGCCTTTCCGGACTTCAGTGGCTTGATCACATTCGAAATTCCTGATTTCGTTCGAGAATAGTTGTCCACTGGCAAACAGTTCTGTGAGTGCAGTTACTGATGGTGTATTTTTGGACGAGTTGAAGGTGATATTCGATTCAAGACTCCTTTGAAGTAATCAACACATTCATTGTTTTATTTGTTTTTCTTCCTTGGTAATTAGGTCCTTTTCGAGCGATTTTTATTGGTTTCATCTCAAAAAATGATAAGGTGTTGCTTTTTTCTGTTTCGTACGTGAACTCAATTTGTGGATAAGACATAGTGAACGTTTTGAGGAGGATGTAATATCGATTTTGTTTTTATACAAGATAAAATAAGTCAAAACTATGGTCAACAACAGAATACTTACTCATACGTAACAATAACAATAATAATGCCAATAATAATACTTAAAACACTTGATTCCTTTTATAAGTTTGGACATTGTTATCCAAAAGATGGAGATTATCTAAAAAGACATGTCATATATTCACGCAATATATTTCGAACAATCTGATTCGTCATACATTACTTGTCAAATCAATTTATAAGAAAAATAAAGTTCAGTTAAAATATGCAAAGTGACAAAAAGGATTTAAGAATAATAAGAATATAATTAACACTAAGTTTAGTTAGCTATAACCAGATAAGAATTACCAAGGCAGGTTTTTTTAATAATAATAATAATAATTGCTTTATTCCAAAAACAGTACTCATGATACAGCAAGGAATTTTCAGCATTCAGTACAATATTGCATCTAATTTACTCAAAAACGACAAAAAAAATTAAAAATACCCATTACATAATAGTAATAAAACGATTGCTGTAGCAGCTACGTAGCAAAATACTGTGTGCCATACGGAGAAAAATATGTATAAAGTACAAAATTGTAGTAATAATAGTAATACCAACTAATATAAAATAGCAGAGTAACGATTTAAACGATAGAAAGTGTGACACCATAAAATACAGAAAGATGAAACGATAAAAGGGTCGATTCACTGTGCTAATTACATAGTAACTTGTAAGTTTCACGTCTAACAGAGTCTTCGTCACATAAAGTACGCGCTAAATAGGGTATTGTAGAATTTCTATACTTAGTAGTACGAGCATATATCTTTTTATATTGACTTCTTGTCCTACTGATGAGATACAAGGGGACAGGTGTGAATAAAGGGGGTGCAGAGTAATAATAAATTTTTTATGTACACACAAGAGGGGAATCCCAAACTAGGACGAAACAGCTGTCCAGTACTCTCTGCTGTCTTTTATTAGTTCTCCAACTTATATCAAACCATGCTTAGATGTGAAACACATCAAAGTAGTTTTTTTTAATGACTTCTTTTCCAGGCTCTACAGTTATCTGCAATTATAAGGATTTAGTAGCCAGTAAATGCAAGTCAATAATTTTATCAGAAATACGTCAGAATATAAGATGAAATGTAAATAAACAAATAGGTGACATATGGTTGGAAATATACTAACCATGTCATAAATTTGTTTATTCACAATATGTTAGAATATTTCCAAAACACGCTGGTCCACATCGATTATCCTAGTTGATTTGTAAGGCGACACATGAAAACAAGGTACAATAAAGAGAAACTGACAACAGTGCATCGGTTGCACAGCGGTTGTGACTCTCGCTGACCATGCATATGGTCCTGGGTTTGATCCACTGCCAACGCACATCTGATATCAATGGTCAGCCAGCAGAATCTGAGCTATCGATATCACATGCAGAAATTCCATACCTGTACCAAAAGTACGGTGTGGAATCGAGCTATTATAAAAAACGTTTCTGAAAATTAATTAAAAAGAAACAACCTTTCATGAAACTGCAATTTAATGGGGACGTGGCTAGTGGAGTCTCACATCTGAGATTATTGAAAGCAATAAAACGGACTTATACTGACGCCACCGTCTGTTTGTCATTTTCCAGCCGACCAATTATGACCGTTCAAGTGAAAAACAAGCTGACTAGTTGTGCTATTTCTATGTGTATCTAAAACTTTACTGGCTCCTACGTAGGAAGCTATATAGGGAAAACAACTAGACAGCCCAATACACGCATCACTGAACGTCTTCCTTCATGATTCGGAAAAAGCTAAATAGAGTTTATAAGAAGTTCTATTTTGCCTCATTTGATTGATAATGGTGGTCACCAAGCGGACAGAAGAAGTGCCTTCAACGTTTTTTATCGCATTCCATCGAGCCTTTCGGACGTAATATGGACCTGCCTTTTACAAAAAGCCGAAGCTATGGGAATCCGAGAGAACAATCCTAGTCTTTGCCTACAAAAGAAGTTTGTTGTACCTTTGTCTCTCTCTCTCTCTTGACTGACTTGAATTCTAATCAAAACACTTCCACCCTTTTATTATTTTCCATTTTCTTCGTACGTTTATGATATTTATTTGAACTCTGATTATCTGTCCACTTTACTTAGCTTCAGTATTACGAACCTTTTAAAATTTAACCTAATTATTAACTTATTGAATTGTCTACATATACACATATCACTCACTAACTTCGTTATTCTTGTCGCCACCTGCATAAACCTTATTATCACCACTATTTTTATTATTTGTTATCATTATAATCATCGTTATTAACGACATTCAAAACATTTACCACATTATTATTATTTTTAAAATTTGATCCACAAAATCGCCATCATTGGTTAAAACTTTTTATTTATATAAATTTACGTAAATTAGAGTAAAGCCTGAAGAAGATCTAATTGAAGACAATATTGTTCGCTTATATTTTTTAATATTTCACACTTTAACTTATGTTCTTAATGAGTGTAGGATTTATATGCATTCGGTTGGTAATCTTAACTGATGAACTCTTACCCCATCTTACAATGATATCCCAATACAATTTCTGGCTATTTGTTGTGTAATATTCAGGATTTTATAACTGTAGAGCCTGAGAAAGAAGTTATTGAAAGCAGTTATTCGCTCTAAAAATGTTCCTGTTTAAAATATTATTATTATTACTACTCTCTTGGATTCTGAGTGGAACACAGAGGGCTTAACAGGACGTCTTCATTTCATCCTACTCTCTGAAGTCTCTTTTAACTGGCTGTGTGAATTCTCGTTAGCCTTCACTTTTTTTCCTCACATTATTTACTCCATGTCACCTTAGGACCCATACCCATTTCGCTGACTAGCGTTCACGTTAAACTCGATGTCACCCAGTGGTTTTCCAAGAAAAGATTAAGCAGTACTCTGATTGGCTACTAACTGGTGTCCGCAGTCTTCTACTTTCGTATGGTGCAAACAGAATTTTATCAATCAAGACTGAAATTTGGCCATCATGCTAGGTGGTTCGACATTAAGGTGCACTTTGAATTGCTGTTTGTTTTTGGTTTTTAGATGGTTGTAGGTATTTCACAGGAAACTCTACCTGACCTAGATTTCGTGACTGTTGGCATTCAACAGTCAGCCAGGCGTATCTACAATCTGGGAGATACTAAAGTCCATTCTAAGATTCAAATCCTACCATTTAGTGTGATCTGGAGCCTAAACAGGCTGGTGGTAACATCTCTGACTGCTCGACTGGCTGACACGGGTTCAAATCTCAGAAGTGACTTGAGTTCCTTCAAAATTGCTTCGGTGACTGGTGAGTGCCAACTAGCCCGAAACTTAGGTTCAAGAATAGGCTTCCTGCTGATTGCCTGCAACCATGTAATAACAAGGTTTAGGAGTGTCTGACTGAGGAGTCGTAACCTGGATCACGTGCGCTGTTGGGAAGTGTTCTACTTCTGCACCGCCAAAGCTTCAGGTAAAGTTATTATTTACTGTCATCTTGCCTCTGGGATGTCATTTTTCAGATATACTGTTCAATCAATAAGTGTGATAACCAGCCTTTTAAATAAAATTATCTATCATTTCCATTTCTTTTAAAATTATTTTTTTAGTATTGATCGTTCAACAAAAATTCAAAATCAATACGGATATTTGTGTGAAAAATCAAAGATACCATATGATTTTGTAGTAATGAATGGATCCTCTCCTGGCACTGGTATTCTTCAAGCTGTTGACGATTATAAAGCTGAACTAATTGTTATGGGTAGCCGTGGTCTAGGCCTAATGAAACGTACGTTTATCGGTAGTGTTAGCAATCATGTTGTGCATAATACGCATATACCATGCATCATCGTGCCGACTGAGAATTAAATCAAGCAATAACATTAATATATCTATATTTACATATATACTTATGTGTGTATTCAAAGATGTTCTACAGTGAAAAGAGTTATTCTCTCTCTTATTTCAAATGAGTTAATTAATTAATTAATTTGTGTATTTGTTATAAAATCGAAATATATATAATATTCAATTCTTATGTGAACCATAACCCGCTACTTTTGATTTTTTTTGCGTTGGTAGCTATGAATCGATATACCGGTAATGATTAAAACCAACTTCTTATAGTGGTTCAAAAGCAGGAAACCGATCTTTGCCTTCTACTGTATAGGGCGTCCAAAAATTGCCAGATTTCTTTACTTGAAGGCGGCCATCGACTCCGTGGATCAAAAGGTACTATGGCAATATTTAAATGTGAAGGGAGCGCCAAGAAGGTACATTGCACTAATCAAGGCACTCTGTTCAAACTCATGTAGCCGTGTAAGGGCTTACGGGGAATCGTCATCTGAATCGATAACAACCAGTGGTGTCCGATAGGGATGTCCTTTTCCCCATTTCTGTTTACCTTCATCGTAGATATGCTAGTGGGAGAATCCTTAACTAAACTTAACGACTTAGAAATGGACCCGTTTCCAGGGAATAGTCTTATGGACGTAGGGGAGGATGCTGACAAAATGCAGAGTCTTCTGAACACCTTGAGCAGCAATCTTCGTATGTTTGGCATGCGATTCGCCCCTGCAAAATGCAAGATGCTGCTACAGGACTGGACCACGTCAATCCCTAACTTAGTGATAGGGAGTGAAGTGATAGAACATGTTGACCACTTCACCTATTTTGGAAGTTGTATCAGCACCAACGGACTGATTGGCGACGAAATCTCAGCATGGATCCAAAAGGCTCGAGTTGCTTTTGCTGACTTACACCATCTCTGGCGTAGGTGTGACATCCGGTTATCAACCAAGGGACGTGTGTACTGCTCATCAGTTCGCTCCGTCCTTCTCTATGGCTCTGAAACATGGCCAATACGAGTTGAAGACATGAAAAGGTTGACTGCTTTCGATCATAGATGTCTGCGATTTCTTTCTCACGTTAGGTGGTATAATAAGGTAAGTAATGTTGACGTTAGGCGTAGAGTGTTGGCAAAGAGGGAAAATCAATCGACGAGGCTATAAAGTTACATAGACTAAGATGGCTAGGTCACGTGCTGCGCATGCCTAACCATCGCCTCCCCGACGACGGGCATTACTAGCTGATATAGGTGCAGGTTGGAAAAGAGTAGGTGGTGGCCAAACAAAAACATGGCGCTAATCCATGAAATCCTTGACAGTTAAACTGAGTCAGGTAGGGAGATGCAGAATTTCGGGTTGGGGCCCACGGGACTCTAAGAATCAATGGCTGGAGACAATAGGTGACATGGCTCAAAATCGTTGTCAATGGCTTAGATGTATTCAGTCTCTATAATCTTTCATAATTCTTCCTACCATTACCCATTCTGTTTCACTCTTATACTTGTCAAACTCCATTGATTCTCTTCACTCATCGTCTTGTCTACCTCTGTGTGGTATTTGGAACGTGGCAACTTGAACTGCTGCACTTCGGTGCCAAGTTCTATGTTGTTTCCAGATAGAATGATACATAGCAGACTATACAGAGCTGACCTAGCATTTCTGGTGTCAATTGCAGTCACAAAACGTACCTAATTGAAAACAATCTGTGGTTCTTTGAATGAAGCAAGAACAACAGTGATCTGTGCAGAATAAAGTGGTTTATTTCGTTGACTTCTCATCAGCTCAGCTGCTTACAGGCCAATGTCATTATTACGTATGTCTACAGAAACAATTTTAACATACTTGTACAGAGTTCATTTTTAAACAATAATCACTCAATCACCATATGTATACAGTAATAATATATGTATATAATAATATTAAACACTATTCCGAACAATAATGATCATGCACAATGGAAACATCCGTCATTGCGTAATCAGATGAAAGAAGGGGTGAAAATATCTAGTTACCAGGCAGGGCAAGGAAAGACTGATGACTGCTTCTTTCTCAACGCACAAATCAGGTTTCAGGTGCTTGATAGAGATCGCTTCGTCAAACTTTAGGAGAATTGAACTCTTTTGCCTATTGAGAATTTTGAACAATCTTACGATGTCCACTTCATGACCTGTATCAAGGAGATGCCTAGTGATGGCACTGTTTAAAACATTTGTTCCCTTTAGACATAAGCTTTTTGGTAAATGTTCAGCCTATGTCTAAAGGGAACAAAAGCTTTAAACAGTGCCATCAACAAGCATCTCCTTGAAACAGGTCATGAAGTGGACGTCGTAAGATTGTTCAAAATTCTCAATAGGCAAAAGAGTTCAACCCCAACGAAGCCAACGAAATAAACGTTGATGGTACCATTTTATTCTGCAAAGACCACTTTTGTTCTTGGTTTATTCAAATTCATTAAAGGGAATAAGTCTATAAAAAATCTGTGGTTTCGTTCTACAATATTAACATCAAAACTTTGGAACTGCTTCAGCAGTACCGTCGGGCAGTAACTTTTCTAGTGCAAAACAAGTGCTGAAAAACAAGAGTAGTTAACGAAGATTCTACTATAGAATCAAGCATAATAGTCCCAACAATGTGGGATTAAAGCTTTGTCAGCAAGATTTACACACCAACTGTTCTTGTAGACAGTCCAAGGTCAAAACGACCTTCAATTACTGAAACAAAATCTTACCATAAAGCAATATATTATCAAGGTAACACATAAACACAAAACAAAAGGCGTTAAAATTACAGAATAAACAGGAGCAAAGAGAAATAATAGGGACAATGTCAATGGATTATTTGTAAATGTTAGGACAGTGATATATTGCCTAGGAGAAAGGAGTAAAGTTATCGCAAAGTTAGTTGAAACAAGCAAATTAGTGTCAATATTTTAAATAGATGGTTCACAGGGGATCTCTCAAACAAGTATTCCGTAACAGTACCTGACTTGTTGAAAATCAATTCGCTCAGATAGTCGAAGTCATAGTATTAAGTTCAGTGTATACCAACCGATACAGTTTACTGCTATTATGGTATATAAGATTAACTCTTCAGTACCTGTCAGGTAGATTAGAGCAACGTTCAAAATATGAATACTGATAGGCTTTAGAGGATGTATTTCTATACTTGACTTTGGTCATCATTTAATCCACTCAGTATAGTGCACCAGTCGGTATATATATCGTGGCCACTGTAATTTAATAGATATGGGCACCATAACAAGTGTAACTTTATTTAACTTTATTACCGAAGTAGAATGCCTTGAATAAGGGTACTTTTTCCCAGCTAATTAAAGCATGCAACAGCATAATATTTCAATGTAAATTTTGCCACGAAAAAACATCAGCAAGGAAGTCATAGAAAACAGGGGACCACTGCATACCTGCTTCTTTCTACTTTCAGAACTATTCATCAGTACACACCGATGACCTTACCGGAGGTTGAACTCAGCACCTTAAGGTTAGAATAACTCAGCTACATGCTTGAAATTCAGTGACGTGTGAATTACAACGTGATGCTTATCGACAGCACTGGCTCGCGGTAGACCTATATTGAGAACTTGAGAAAGTTGGCGTTTAGTAGCATAACCGTAAGGTCGTGGTTTCGATCACTGGATGGGTCATGGATGAAAACTGGTTAAGAGTATTGAAAGTAGGACATGGCGGCTATCTGCGTTTGATCTTAATTTCTAATACATCGAAAGAATTATTGAACTGTTGCACTATTTAAGTCTGTACCTTCTCTGACTTCATGACTGGGTGATTCGGGTCCAAATTTCATAAGGTACATGAGTTCCATCAAGGTTGCAGATACGCCTTTCTGACGAGTTCAAACTAACGTGGAATATCAGTCCAAGCCTTCTTACTGATTGTCTCCAACCATCAAATATGTATTCAACGCACTGTCTATCTGTAGGCGGATGTAAGGCGGATGTAGACGAGATATTCGACCATCGACCAAAGGGCGGGTGTACTGCTCATCAGTCCGCTCCGTCCTCCTTCATGGCTGCGAGTGAGACCTGGCCAATGAGAGTGGAAGACATGAAAAGATTAGTTGTCTTTGATCATAGGTGCCTGTGTTCTATCTCCCGTGTGAGGTGGTAGTTGTAATAGGGTGAGCAATATTGAGGTTAGGCGTAGAGTTCTAGGTGAACAGAGGAAATCAATCGACGAAGCTGTGAAGTTACAAAGACTGAGATGGTTAGGACATGTGTTACGTATGCCAAGCCATCGCCTCCCTCGACGAGCAATGTTAGCGGATATAGGATCAGGCTGCAAAAAAGCTAGTGGAGGTCAAACAAAAACATGGCGCCAGTCAATGAAATCTACAATAGTTAGTCTAAGCCATGTAGGAAGGTGTAGACTTCCTGGTTGGGGTCCTCGGGACGGTAAAAACCAATGGTTGGAAACAATTGGTGACATGGCTCAAAATCGTTCTCAGTGGCACAGATGCATCCACTCCCTGTGACTTATGACTTCCAATTAAACTATGTTGTTCTTCGTTACAAGTATTCCTTTGTCTCACACCTCTGTTTACTGTCTTTATTATGCCTTTCTTGTACTTTCTTCTCTTACTTTGTGTGCTACATGGAGTGTGGCGACTTGAACTGCCGCACATCGGTGCAAAGTTCTATGTCGAAAACAGATAGACAGGCGGATGTAAGCGTGCAGTCATAGACAATATACGTTGATAAAAATTTATTCCAGTGATTGTTTTGATACAGAGTGGAAGTCTCTGTATATTTCACAATAATCTTTTGAGTGTTACCATTTGCATTACATCGTAGGGAAGGGGGAAATTATAGGAGATTATAATATTTACAATAATAATTACAATCTGATGCTCACTAGTGACTGGTCCTATTCAGGCAGTTAACCTGGGGTTCTAGTGGGAAGCCGTGACCAGTAGGGTACAGCAGGTCGAAGATGAGGCAGTAACTCATCGAAGAAGACATTGCGAAGTGGTCGCGCTATGTCGTGAACTGGCAGAAGTTAGAATTCAAGGACCATTGGATCGGGTCCCAGTGGCTCAATGGTCTACGGGCTCGCCTTGTAACCAGAAGGTCCTGGGTTCGAATCCCGGTGGGTGCGTACTGCTGAGGAGTCCCAAACTAGGACGAAACGGCTGTCCAGTACTCCCAGGTTTTCCAGTGGTTCTCTAAC